CTAGAGAAGCCACGGCTAAACCCGATTTACCCCGCTAAGGGAGACGCAAACAAGCCCGACCTATCGCGCTAGAGAAGCCACGGCTAAACCCGATTTACCCCGCTAAGGGAGACGCAAACAAGCCCGACCTATCGCGCTAGAGAAGCCACAGACAAGCTCGATTTAGCGCGCAAGCGAAGACGCAAATAAGCCCTAGTTACCATTGGTATAGGTTTTACCAGTGGTATAGGTTTACCTGTGGTATAGGTTTTACCAGTGGTAATGTCCGCGAGAAAATGCGGAACACAAATCTCTCAACGACTACAAAACCAAAGTAAAGTAATAAACAAAATCCAATTTACTTTTTTATTATCGTAGATCGTTCACTGGGAAATCACATTAGGTCAACCAACCAAAAATAGCTATATATATAGTAAGATGTACTCTGTGAGTCGGTCAATATTCCTTATTACACATAAAACCCCATGCTGACCTCACGTCTTAAACTTCTGTTCGGGTTTAGTTTAACCATACCTATTAAATGTTACAGGCAGAAACGGATTTAGCTTTCGGGAGGGGGTGAAGGTAAAATAGTGCAAACCCTCCATATATAGGCCCACATGTGTTATAGAATGGTCGATATTTGTACATTCCAAGTTAGAGAAACAGAAATATTACAGCAACAGCACAAAATATTTATTCATAAACAGAATGTATTTTCTAAAAGAACAACTTTATATTTGATCTGTATATTTATAGATAGTAACTTGAAACCGGTCTATTCATGAGAGGGTTAGGAAAAGGAAATGTTGACTCTTAACTTATAGTGTTACATAGTCATTGAGGGGAACGAGCTATATAATTTAAAGTGTTACATAGTCATTGAGGGGGACGAGCTATATAACTTAGAGTATTACATAGTCATTGAGGGTGACGAGCTATATAACTTAGAGTGTAACATAGTTATTGAGGGTGACGAGCTATATAACTTAGAGTGTTACATAGTCATTGAGGGTGACGAGCTATATAGCTTAGAGTGTTACATAGTCATTGAGGGGGACGAGATATATAACTTAGAGTGTTACATAGTCATTGAGGGGGACGAGATATATAATTAGTGTTACATAGTCATTGAGGGGGACGAGCTATAGCTTAGTTAGAGTATTTGTCACAGATTCTACTGGGGTGTCAAAATCAAACCAATTGTTGTTCAGCTTGGCAACCTGCAACGTCGGATCTGTACTCCCTGTGTGAGTCACACTGAATTACACACGTTTCACACTGTTATGTCCGTAACCATGACTGGTTCGATATACCACCTTACCACGGTACAACAATGTGTATCTGACATTGTTATTACGACATTATTGTTCTTCTTCAACCGTCCATATTAAACCCAAGTCTTTCCACGAAGCCTCGTTATCTAAGTAACGTTTTGTAACAACTAACTAGTTCTTGAAGGAAAGTCACTTAAAAAGGCAGAAATTTCGAAATACATAAATTATATAGGATGAAGTTAGATAAGAAAATTTGTTTTATTCTGCTCGCTTTTAAGTTTGATACCAGATACCAATTTGAGTAGTTTTATGCTTAACTACAAACAAACACAATAATGCCCGATGAATAAGCGACGAAAATCGGTAGAGCAGCGTTTCCCAAACTATGGGTCGCAAGCGGAATGTTAGTGGGTCGTAAAAAGTTATACTAGAATTACGCATTAGCTTCGATTAAACGCTG